AGCAATGAGCTTTAATGTTTGTTTGTTTCATAACTGGTTAATGTATTGTGTTTTTATCAGAGGCTTGTTGATCCTCTGATTAAGGACAGCTGTTTTTCTCCCATTTTTGGGTGGAACCATATAATCTCTCATAAATGTTGTGATTCAGAATAGCTCAGCTTACATAACTTTGGACAAATGACCAAGTTGTTTCTCCATTAGTGCAGAGAGTTCTTGAGTTTCTGTGGTGTGTTGTACACAAACTGAGCAAGTGTTTTACTCAGACCCTTCAGTTTTCCCTTTGGCGTTCCTTCAAATCAGGCATTAAGTTAACACCAAGACAATTAAATTTAGACCTTTGTTAATCTTGATGCAACAAGAAAACTGATACAAAGTAGGACACCATTACTGTAATACATGCTAACTTTTTAAAGTCAAACATTACAACTCTTGAAACACCAAACCAGTTAATCCTCCTACCACGGATTAATACAACACATAAACCTACTTCCTCTTTACATTCTCCTCACACTGAGAACACAGGCTTGACGCTATAGAACAATTTCCAATCTCCATTTCTGATTTCTGACCTGTGATAATTGGCAAACGGGGAACCTGACGGCTGCCGGAGCGCGGGCCTCCTGTCACCTGCAGCGCCGCAGACCCTCAGATAAATTATTCATGCCTAATATCATTATGTAGGCGCTGCTTGTCATAACAATCTAGCTCGATGGAGGGAAACTCAATCTGCCACCCCTGCTCCTGTGCAGACAATGCTTTTTAATTATTGATACGGACTAATTGGCAACAGGATTCGCAGGGCACCGTTACTTTTGTTCTTTTTACAGCTCGCTCTGCTACTTCAAGAAACAATCTGATCGGGAGGCCAGCCCTCCCCGGTGCCCCCGTGTCAGCAAATTAGCAGGCAGAATGACCCCGCTCATGACCGTCTTCGTCTATCACCTTCTCCTTTCCTTCTCTCGGTGTTTAAGATTCTCCCCTACGTTTTCTCCTCGCCACGGACGTTGGTTAATTAAGACGGGAGAAGACGCTAACTCGACTAGCTGCCCATCATTATTCGCGGCACGCTGTTGCGCTACCACAGGTTCTTCTCTGAAAAGATTTTCTGCTAATGTGCAGAGGAAGCAGAGAATACAGTGGAGGTTAATGGAGTTTAATGTAGGGTCAATGTGAAAGTTTGAACCTGAGGTTATTGTTCATGGACAGGGAAACGGGAAGAAAAGACACTGAAATATTTTAATGTAATTGTTTGTTTAGGTAAGCGGAAAACAATAAAGGGAGTCTCAAAAGTCTACATACAGCTGGTAAAATGCCAGGTTTTGTGATGTACAAAAAGTGAAACCATAATAAATTATTTCAAAACAAATATTTATAAATAAAGCTGCATAACTAGACCAGAACAACCGTCCACTGGACCATGGTCATCTGTTCCTACGTCTTTGTTTTGAGCCATGGTTTAGTTTTAAGAAAGGTCACTTGGCACATCATAGACTCAACCACAAAGAAAGTTTGTTTTTCATGCATACAAAAGGGATATCCCAAAGCTGTGTCCTTTTGGTTTTAACAGTGACTTGATTTTGACTTCTTGGAACAAAATTTCCCCGGTGACTACCAACAGTACACGGTATCATGCATTATCGTGTCCTGTCACTGATTCAACTAACACCTGGTTCATAGAGCAAGATAATTATGCCAATTTTTATCTTGATCTCACTCTTCCGACAATTATCAAGATACTCCTGCTGTGTGTGGTGTGTTATGAATGATCTAGTCAATGTGAAAGGACAGTGGGACTCCTTCAACCTCAAATCAGGGAAATCCAACATGTTGGATTGTCTTGGTCCGATATTGCAGCATGTGGTGTTTCACAAGGACAAATGTGACATGCAACCAATCAGAAAACATGGTGAGGGAAACACAGAGAATTACAACCACAGAGGATAAAACAATGGCCATGATGCAGCAGAAGGTCCCATGGAGGTTAAAGACGGCATTGGATTGTCTAAAAATAGACCACAAACCATTGCTTCGTCCTTGTCAGCCATATTTATTTACGCAAAGTCAAAACTTCATGATTGATCTTGAGCGGTTTTGTGAGATTTTCAGGGTGAAATTTGAATGTCCATTAGTGGAATCTTTCTGTGACACCAAAACGGTTTTCTCTGACTTTTTTTTTATCGTCATATGGGCGGTTGTGACCAATATGGCCCCACACGTCGTTCTTGGTACAAGGGGGAGCAAACAACTCAAAAACCCAAACAGCAGAACGATCAAATTTAGAATATTTTATTACAAAGAAGGTCACTTTAATAGTGACAATAAAAACAGTCATTTTCTTCTTAATAAAATTCAAAGTTCTGTAATTGTCCTTAAAGGAAGTCACCAATCCGAGGCCACCAGTTGGGCTCCATTCCTCACGTTGCTCCAGGTGCGGCAATTTGCCTATAAAGCGCTCACTTGCCGATCCTCGGCTGACTCTGCAACGCTCCAGCATTGTTCCGCTCCTCGGCGTGCCACGCCCCTTTTCAGACTGACCCAGAGGCGCGGGCAGGTTCCCTTCTGCCCCGATCCTCTGTACTGAACCGTCGGCGCGCCTGGCGTGCGGATTCCGTCCGCCCCTCGCTCGGCGACGCATCAGTCTCTGGCAATCACAGGATCAGTCTTCGCCTTCTCCTTTCATCCAGGCTCCTTTTATTATGGCTTCAATCAGCCTCTGCTGACACCTGAGTGCCCTGATTACGGAACGCAATCAGTGCGCTCCGCCTCCTTAAACGGCCGCCTTCAGCCCAGTGCGTTTGGGTTGTTAAAGGGGAAAGCAAAAAACCAAAACAATCCAAACATCCAAAGCACAAAAAAAAAAAAAAAAAAAACAATCATATTTTGGTCCTTTAGGTTTAGAAAATCGACAGAGTTTTTACACCTTTCATGTCAGCCAGGCATAACTTAAAAATTACCTCATACATTTGACCTTATCAAGATTCAAAGAAATCTCTGGCTGCGATAGAAGATGATCACCTTAATAGCTTTTATAAATTTATGTTGTGTACTTTTTGTACCCTTAGTTCAAGTAAAATAAAACCCTTATCGACTCCAATCGCTTGGATCTGCTAATTCTACAGACAATTAATTCAACCTTCTCTGTCTGGGCGAGCAGTTTTTTTTTGTTTGTTTGTTTTGTTTTCATTTTATGAGTTTCAAAGGAACACACAATGTAAAATATCACACAGGCCTCTTATATGTAAACTGTGAGGTCTGATGAGAACAAAGCTTATCCTTGGAACACTTTTTAATACATTCAAAAGCAAAACACAATCCCTCTGATGTTAGTTTTATCTCCATATGGAGCCACAGGTTGAAAAGTGAGCAGTGATCAGTAGAAAACAGAATTTTATATGATAAAAAAGTTCATCTTAGCAGCAGCTCCTTTAGTGGCATCATGGAGGAGAGACTGACCTTAGATGTGATGGATTTGCTTGTTGTTATGAGCTTTATGTGAAAATAAGAATTTTGAATTTTATTCTGAATTTAAGCGAAAAAAGGGAAGTTGCTTTTCTTAAATCTGAGTAGTTGTGTTTTTTGTGGGTCTATAATCTTGGCAATGAGAAATGTATAGCATAAAAAATATACAAAGTTGAATCAGCAGTAGATATATATTTTTATGTGTGAGATGGTTTGTGTTGAGTTTCAGGCGATAACAAGGGAAATACATTTTGTTCTTCATTTCACCGCAAAACCAGCCCAAAGAGATGTAATAACATAAAGTTTTATTCTTAGATTAAAATCGCTTTCTTCATAACTCATCTATCTTGGAGAAGATCAAACATAAAGAAGAATCAGTCAAAGCTTCTGAATTAAAGCAGAGACAATATTTAATCATTGTCTCTGAAATGAAACGGGTACTTGAAAAATTAATAGGCTGAGTTGTTTTGAAATTTTTAATCTTTGTTCAGCAGAATCGTGGCCTGTGAGTTCCCCCTCCAGTCTCGTCTCTGTCTGATTTTCAGCAATTTGGTTAAACTAAAATGTAGTTATAAATCAAAATGTAGGTGCATCAGTCACACCGACATCAGACTCCTAACAGGAAACTGTCATTCCTTTGCAATCTGGAATATTAATTTCATTTAAACTTGCAATCAGATGCAAAGAAGGAATCCATCTGTAAGTAGGGCAGAGCTGCGGCTGAAAGAGAGAGGTTTGAAAACAGAGGGGTTGCAGGGAGAAAAAACACTAAGTCAAGGCTGAAAATACAGAGCAGCAACCTCAAGAAACACCCAAACCAATCAGTCAGAAACCGACGAGATGGTTCTCCACATCTGAGACAATAAAGAGAATCAGCAAAACCGACAAAGACGGGGAGAAGTTATTCTTTCATTATTACTGGAGAGTTTTAAAAGACACTTACTGGATAAATCACATCATCAGATGATGATGTGATTTTCAGGGTGTTGTTTCTTAGAGCAACTTTATGGCAAACATCTATGAAGGACTAAAACTGACATAACTAAAAATAAAAGCAGAAATGTATAAATGGCTTGAAAAATAAATCAATGCATTTAAAATCCACCAATTAGTTTAAATAGTCAGAACTTTACCTCATATGTTATAGTTTGACATTCATTTTTATTTCTTCAGCTTAGCTCCAAAAATTATATTTTAAAGCACATTATTTAAATGTTACCGTTTTATGTTTGTTTTTCATTTTCCTTTCCTTTTGCTTAAAATTATAATTTAATATAATTTTTTGGTAGAAATTTGATACCAAGTCAATACAGGACCACTTTTGTGGCCCTGATACAGATACAGATACTTTTTATTAAAGTGAAATATATCACCAAACGTTTGAGCTTTTTGTGTTTTTGTGTTTTTTTCCATTGAATCATTTTATCCTAGCCAGGCACAAAGTTTATAGACGTCCACAAACTACATTCATAACATACATATATGACAATACAAATAACAATGAAAAGACAAAAACAAAAATCAACACATTTTTCCAAACAACCCATTCTGCTCCTTCAGACTAGCAAGCAGCCATTAGCAAACACCTGGTGGAACTGCACTTCTGCTGAACTCATTACGCAAGCTACTTGTTAGTGAAACGCTGGTAAAAAAGAAAAGAAAAAAAAGTTGTTTGGCAACACTGCTGGAGAGCTGTTGTGATGGCTTCCTGCAGGTGGAGTTTCAGAAAGAGCAGGAGTTTTTAAAGAGACAGAGGCCCTATTTCAAGGTGTTACATTATGAAGTCAAATTACTTTTAACTCATATTTCATATATACAGCATTTCTATAACACCTGAAAGTTACATAGTTACTTGATTGTGTTATAAAATGCCACAATGTACCTGGAAAACTCACAATACTGTCCCTTTCACGCTGAATCTCATCATTACCAGCTCTAGATATGCGTAGGTCCATTACGTTTGCACATAAGCACCCTCTCTGAGCAGAACCGCTCTACTGGACATGAAGTGGGGCTTGAGCCTTTTCTCTTTAGGACTTCTGCAGCATGTAGACCACTCTGATCGTATTCGGACCACTGCCAAGTCTTTCCATTAAGGCGTAAACAAACACACATATGGGCCTTCCCTAAGTGGCTCAGTGTTGTGCACTCTCGCCTGCCCTCCATGCTCAGACGCACTCTCACATGCAGACATGCATATGATTACACACAGATTTCCATGAATCACACACACACACACTGGTCATGGTCATTGCTGTGTTTGGAATAACGACTCAAAGCACACACACATGTACACGCGTGTGCAAATGCCGCCCTACTGCTGGCCTCTGTGGGATAGCCATGTCACAATCAAGAGCCTCCTCGGCCCTAATCTGCTTTTTAGGGCCCCGCCACAAACGTTCATCTGCATAATCGGGACGACAAGTGTGGAGAGGGTGAAAGAGGGAGGGTGGAGAAGGAAGGAGAAAGACAGGTTGCAGACAAGAGAAAGGAAATTAGGGGTAGTGAAGGTAAAAGGGAGTGGATGGAGTGAGAGTGAGGAAGGAAAGGAGGGGATGATGAATGGCCAGGATGCAAAAGAAAGAAAATGTAAGGATTCCTTTTAAACCTGTGTGTGTGTATGCAAATAGCAGAGCACAAGTTGCATGTCAGATATTGGTTATGACAGTCGCACCTGCTGCCCTAACTCACCCTTCACCTCTCACCCTCCTCATGCATCCCTGTCCCATCAAGAGTCATTACCCACCAGCCAAGGGGGGAAGGTCATTTTTAATCCTCCTTCCTTCCCCCTACATCCTTTATGTCTTGGTCCGTCTTTCATGACGCTTTCTTAATGACTCCATGCTTACGCTCAGATTAGACATTTACATCAAGCTGTAATTGCCTCAGTTGCATTGTTACGATTATATTAGGACCATAAGAAAATGGGAGAGTAAATTTCCACCAAAAAACTCAGAACTTTTGAGATAAATCTCAGAGATTTTCTGGAAAAAAAACAAGGACATTTCTGAATTTGAAAAGTCAGACATTTGCGAGAGAAAACTCAGAAATTTTAAGATTAATCTCTGAAAATTTCTAGAAAAACATGGAAATTTTTAAGTTTGAGAAATTTAACATTTTTAACTTGGAAATCTTTTGATTTTGAAATGTCAAAAATGCTCAACGTTTCAAACTCATTTCTTTCCTTGTTTTTTCTAGGAAATTTCTGAGTTTCTTGGCAGAAATGTCCTTTTCTCCCTCTGTCTACAACGGTCCTAATACATGACAGCTACATCCTCTCTCAATGCTTGGATTTCATGCATCAGGACATGATAAAAATGATCTGGTTCTGAAATTATTTAGGTTTTGTCTGTACAGAATCACACATTAAGTTTCATACTGTCATTATTTATTTAAGAGAAATGTAGCCAAATTGGAAATGCTGCATTTGAGTAGACCTTTGCTGTTTCTCCAGGACTTAAAGGGGAAGCACTGCTGATTAAATGCATTTCCTTTACTGATCATCAGTGTGAGCGTCTACATTGGTATGCAAACCTATATAGAAAGTCAATGGCAGATACCTAAAGGAGACAACTGTTGTTGCCCAACAACCTGGGAAGGGCTGCAAGCCATTTGTTTCTTTAAGTTTTTACTTCTACAGTGATAACCGACTGTTTAAGAATGTTGCCAATCTTGGAATTATAGGCAAGATTCAGAATGAGAATTTATAATAATAATAAAATGTGCACAATGATAGGAGGCTACGATTATCTGAGTTTGGTGGAGAAGAAGAGCAGTTAAAGAAGGTGAGGGAAGAATCACTGAGAGGAGAACCAGAAGGGCTGATGGATCCGGAGTCGAGAACTGATGTTGATGGGAAGCAGAGGGATGTTTGGTGAGGAGAGGGCCAGGCGACAAAATGATAATATCTTTTGCGATACACAAGAGAAATTTAGTTTTAATTTTAGTGATAAAGTCTATTAACTAAAATGTTAATGTTAGCTTATTTTAGTACAAAGTCTAACCATAGAAAAATTAACTACCACTAATCTACTATGTTGATATCAATAGAAAATATGACAGAATTTTGATAATTTCACTGAACTCTAATCCAGAACCGCATGGCATTCTGGGAGCTGTAGGCAGAGAAAAGGCTTCAGTCACTCAGCCACTCATAAGCAAAATTTACCAAATTTTAGGGACATAACTACTTGAAAAGCTGAAATATGTTGGAAGTTTAACTTATTCTAGTTTAAAATATTGCTGTCAACGTATTTTGCATTAAACAAACAATTAGCTGATATTTAGTGATAACTTTAATGTTTTGAACCTCTACAGAGCTTGAACTTGATGCTGTCTCAAAGTCTCCATAATTTTATAAACTTCCATGTTTTTAAAAATACAAACACATGTGATCAAAACCATTGGTTTAATTTTAAAAGTTTTTGTTTCATGGTGTAACAAAACAAATTGTCAAAAAATCCATAATAGTCCTTATTTCCCTCTGCTTGTCCTTCCTCCTCCTCTCTTTTGCATATGATGTGTGTCACCTGGTAGGACGATTCAAGCAGCCACTTTAGGGAAAGTGGAATGGAGCTCAGGTTCAAGACCCCAGCCGAGACCTGCATTCAAAGTGGGGAGGAACAGACACTTCCCTGGACGACTAATTGAAGGTCCTTTAAAATTCCCACAGAGGACCAATCATGGTTTTCATCTGGGGCTACGCAGGGCCGAGAGGGGCCAGTGGGGGCCTCTCACATAGAGGAAAGAGACAAGGAGCAGCTCTAAGACCTCAAGTATAATAAATCAGACCTAGAATAGATTTAAATGTAAATTGAATCTAGCAGGATTTTATGAAAATATTTCTTAAAGTGCTCTTTATCTTATTCATCCTGAGTTCATCTCAAGAACTGGTACTTCTAGAAGGGATTAAATTGCTTACTAAACAACACTATGTCCATTTTTACCACTTTTATGGAGTTTAGACTTAATCTTCACCTTTATGTTGAAGATCTACTAAAGACAGTTTGCAAACAGGGTGCTTGATTTCTGCCATCTAGTTTAATATAATAATCTTTCATCCTGATTTAAAAAATACACTATATTGTCAAAAGTATTTGCTCACACATCCAAATAATCAGAATCAGGTGTTCCAATCACTTCGATGGCCACAGGTGTATAAAACGAAGCACCCAGGCATGCAGACTGTTTTTACAAACCTTTGTGAAAGAATGGCTCGTTCTCAGGATCTCTGTCGGGGTATGCTGAAGCGCCTAGTGCAAAGAGGTCACCAACTTTCTCCAGAGTCAGTCACTACAAACCTCCAAACATGCAGTCTTCAGATTAGCTCAACGGTGTGCAGAGAGCTTCATGGAATGGTTCCATGATGGAGCAGCTGCATCTAAGACAGCTGCTCCATCACAGTCAGTGTGATTTCTGTCATTCCAGAGAAGAAGCTACACCAGGGGTGTCCAAAGTTGGTCCTCGAGGGCCTTCATCCTGCATGTTTTAGTTTTCTCCTTGGTGGTAGTAACAACCTTTTCAGTTTGTCAATGTTCCTCTTAGGCCTTTAATGAGCCATCATTTGATCCAGGTGCGTTAAACCAGGGAGAGAACTAAAACATGGAGGATGCCGGCCCTCCAGGACCGACTTTAGGCCCCCCTGAGCTACACCTATTAATCTGCCTGGTGTGGATTCTTTGTTTAGCTGGTTTGGACTGAATGTTAGTTCAACCAAAAGAAATGTAATTGAATATGTCATTATTATCATTTTAAAAATTGACAGGTAAAAAAAAAAAAAAAGAGTATGATGGTATTTTGACAGATGAAGTGTAGCCCAACATCTGCTTTGAAAAGACATTTACTCTCTTCATTCCAATCCACTGATGCTTTTTAGAGCTTACATTGTTGCTCTGGTTTGCTGGATGCAGGTGCGGCTCATTAAAATCCTACCCACTGGTCCACTGTTTGATTAACCGCGAAGCCTCAGTTGCCAAGTTGGCCTATTATAAGCAACTTCTGGCTTGTTCTTGGCCTGAACATATTGATCCTTTTTGGTTGCTTGCTCAGAAAGTTTCGTTACTTATTTAGTGTCATGTCTCTGTCCACCAAACAAATACTCCTAATTTGGATGGTTGTGGCATCAATCAACAACTGCATAAAGGAAGAGACATGAGAAAGATATCTAAATGCCCTAATCAACTTTACAATTCCTCTGTGAATGTTCAAGGAGCTGAAAGTATTCAACGGAGCGACTGAGATTGTTTTCCCAACTTGTTAATGCCTGGATAACCATGGATTCTACTTATTTAAGTTGTGCTAATTTGTCTGTGGAACTAACTCACCTCTCTTCTGATGTATTTGTTTATTTGATCAAATTGTAGACATTCCTAAATTCACGCTGCACAATTTATACCACTAATCTTAAACATTTCCTCTTACACTGGAGGAGACTTAGAAGAGTACAAAAGTCTATTTGTTTACCAATTTGGGTTTATTTTTCAAAAGGGTAATGGCAAAATGATGAGTTTGGTTAGCATCCTTGTCTGTTTGCTGCTAACTGCCTAGCATCCTATGACCATTTTTACAGTTTATCTTAGTTGTTTTTCTGCCATTAGCACATAGAGCAGCAGGTACATGAGCCTGATTAACAGCACTAAGACTCCTCCTGCCTCTTATTGGTTGTTTTTGACGTGCATATCTGCACACCACAATAGTAGCACTGGTAAGAAGAAGAGGAGCTTAATTGGTTGTCAGATAATCTGTCTCATGCCGTACTGTCATGATTCAAAGACATTTTTATCAAATATTGAAACACATATTTTTTTTAAAGGAGACACCCAAAACAGAACATGTTTGGTGGCACTTCACCCCACCTGTCGTCTTCAGGCCTTCCTCAGCTGAACCGGACCATCTCTGGTCCACAACTATTCCTCCAGCTCCTCCCTCTGAATAAAAAGTTGCATTGCATGGCAGTGAGGGGGCAGGCATGATGAGTGGATGGATGAAGCGTGTGCATGTGTGTGTTGCAACAGAGGGAGAAGTAGGGGTGGGGAGTTGCGTTGGGGGGGTGTTTCCCCAGCGGGACGCATTAACAAGCCCATCCAGTTAAATGTAGCCCCTGCATTACCTAATGTACCGGCCCTTCTCCAGCAGTGTAGGAGACAGCAGCATCCATTATTGATCAGATGGAGCTTTGCCTCTGAAGCTGGAAGCCTGTTGGAGAGAGAGAGAGAGGGATGGAGATGGTGATGGTGATGGAGAGAGGGGGGCTAACAAATGGGGAGGAGGGCAGAGATGGAAAAGAGGAGAGAGATTTGTTGTGAAAGGGAAATAAGTCAAAAAGATGATTATGACATTGCTCTCTCGCATCGCTGTCTTCATCTCAAATCTTCCAACTTGCTGTCATCCTCAGTCATGTCTTCTTCCTCCTTCTCCTTCGTCCTTTTTTCGATATCTGACTCTCCAAATCTCTCTTTTGTTTCATATATGGTTTGTTGTCTTCAGTTCCGTCTCGTGCCGAGTCCGTGCCAGCTGACAGAAGCTTGGCGTCACTCGTCATGCGGATCAACGCAGCCCTGTTTTCCTATAATCATCCCCCACCTTGTCCAATAATCCAACCAGCCTCCGCTCCATCACTCCCTCTCCGGTGGGATCGGCTGGGGGTGGAATTTGAATTTCACAGAAAGTCATTTGAGATTTACTTTGTTTTTGTTTTTATTTTTTTGCTTTTGCTGAGACGGGGAGTTTGAGGTTGCTACTTTTCCGTCTATCTTCGTTGTTTGTGTTTCTGTCTCGTGATTTCTCTTTTCCCTGTGGATCTCAAAGTGCACACAACCATTCAAGTCAAGAGCTGAAAATAAGCATCGGCCTAAGATGTTTGACTTTGCCATCAGCCACTGTGCTTTCAGCTCAGGGGTGTGGCTGGAATAGATCTGAATTCTGACTTCTGGCCATATCTGAATTACACTCAATAAGCCTGTCTTCTCAGCCTCCATGCTACACCAATCTCTACTGCCCCGGAGGCCCTGCCCTTTAAAGTCTAATGCTGTGTGAGGTTTTCTTTTCATTTGCTTCTCTATATATTTTTATTTCTTACCTGCCCAATACAGAAAACCGCCAAAGTAAAAGCTGAGCAGGTAGACTTCAAGTTCAGTTGAGCTGGCAGAATTGGTATTTTCATCTGGTGGAATTGATCAAGAGTATAGTTTTTGACTTGTTTTCTTAGTCTGAAATCTTGATGGACTTTTGTTTTTTAGGGAATGCGTTTACCTTTTGAACATTTTTGCATTATATAGCTAAACATTTCAAACTATTTCAGTGGAATTTTGTGTCACAGATCGAGACAGATGGGTGTCATTCATCCCTTACCTTCACCAAACTCTTTCTTGACAGATCACAGAGGATTTGGCACTTAGCTACATTTAAAATCTGAAAAGAAAACCATGTATTTATATTCAACCTTCCTGAGTCAGTATTTTAGAGAAGCAGCTGTCATTGTAGTAAAAGTTGCAAGGTGTTTGGGGTAACTTTCAAAACTTTAAAAATTCATTAAATAAAATTTATGATTTCTGATTTTTTTGTTTTTTTGTTTTACCTGCTCAATAATAAAAATTTTATTAATTCTGCATATCATTAAAGATACAAGCCATAGAAAGACTTTGGACTGTTTTTTCATTAAGAGAAAAATAGACAATTTCCAAATGTTTTGGTTCATCAATTGTTGTTTATTCTTTGCTTGACATTTTTTTTTCTTTACCATTCTTGAATTGTGGTCAGGAGTCAAACAAAATCATTTCAAGGGCCACTTTGGCCCCCAGGCCATGCTCTGGACACCCCTGATCTACACTGTCCTATTGCAGCTCCAGCAGTACGTTTAGGATCGTTGTCCCATTAGGAGGATTGACAAGTTCCTATCCCCATCCATCTATGAAAGTTCCCTGTCCATGTACTCATTTTTATTCCGTCATTATAGATCCCAACAACCATTTCCAAATGTAAATTATTGTGCATATTAATTGATCAGCCTCACTTTGTTTGCCTCTTATGTGGAAAAATAAATCTTTAAGTCTCTTTTTGGCCCATTTCACCCTCTACTCTCTTGTCCTTACTTTATTGATCTCTGCTTGAAGTTGGATGATGATCGGAGCTGTTCCGCCTCAAAGAACAATTAATTGTGCATGTGATCGATGTTCATGCCTAAATCAATAAACACCTCGCTGCTTTTCTGTCTGTTTGAGTTTATCTGTGGTTGTGTGTGCTGGACTATGATGATAGGGTGTGGATGTTGTTGCTATATTTGTCACTGTTTGCATGCTTTTATTCAACATGCTTGAGGTGGTATTTAAAGATCCTTTCGGATGCATCCCTGCTCCAACACACCTGAATAACATGAGCGGTTTATGAAAAACCTGCCAACATGTGAAGCAGGTGACTGAGGATTTAATTGGGGTGTGTGGACAGTGGAGCTGATTTAATCTAATGCCTGTAGTGTGTACATTGTTGTTATGCTCTCTGTTTGATGGAAAAATTTCACCAGGATCAAAAATCTGATTAAAACTGAAATATTTTTTTATTCTTAAATTTTCAAATCAAGAAGTTATTTATTAAAATATACACTACAATCATTAAGTGTTTGTAGTGTATATTTTTCTTTCCTATGCAATACTGCATATTTTGGTATCAATACCAAGGGACAATATCACCAATATGAATACTGATACTGATATTATATGACACAATACTTTTTATTATTAAGTTTGATATATCATCAAATTCTGGCCTTCGCGTGTTTTTGTGTGTTTTTTTTTATGATTTAGTTAAATTCTGTAGGTCAAAATCTGGACAAAGGTTAAAGGTATTTACAAAATATTTTTGACAATATATTAACATGACAAGCAGAAAAATAGAATAACAAAAAGATTGTGTCCAGATTTTCCCTAAAACAAATTGCAAATAAATTATAATCTGAAGTAAATCAAAATCAATTTTTTAGATAGATTTGAAAAACTAGAGCACAAAAATAAAATATAATTTCAAGAAAGAATTTGAAACTTAATTATCACTCTTATAATACTAGCATTGAACCGATACTGATATCGATTTGCATCATATAATGATGAAAAGATAATGTTGTGTAAACATATTTTTAGGAAGATTGATGTTTGATAAGGTCAGGCCTTAGCAGACAGGTCATGACATTAGATGGACAGTAATGAGTCCAGTAAATTGTGAAGTGAATAAAAGTGACCCGGTCTTTGTGAGATGTCCGTGGCGAGACATGGGCCAGTGAAATATTAATGAAATGTAACATTTCTGCAGTGAGGTAATTTTTCCCCCTCTATCCTTTCACTCAGAGTTCCAGTAGTTTGTGTTGTCACCTCTAAAAATGCACACAGTAGCCATGCACACACACACACACACACACACGCACACACGGCGCTTCAGCTGGTCTAGACAGGACTGAGCCAAGTGTGTGAGTACGTGGAGGCCATTTGCAGGAAGGGAAATGAACACGTTGTGGCACTCAGAGGGCATCTGAAGCCTTTCAGGGTGAGAGGTGCGTGATTCAGCCTGAGGTGGCAGCTAAAGCAGGAAGAAAGAGTGTTTTTATTTTTTGTATTTTTTATGACAGGTCAAAAGTAAAGCTCTGACTTTCTGACTGTGTTGTGTATCTATGTGAGAGGTGACTGGCCTGTTTACTATTTTAGGATAAAATATTTCTGCCTCTCCTGTCTTTCTCCCATAGTTTCTACATCTCTGTTAATGTTACGCCCATGTTTACTGGCACCTCATGTGAAAATGGGGGAAAAGGGTACAATAGATTCATACAGTAGTCTAATCTCATAAAAACAAACAACTTCATACAGTATTTACCTTACTTTGAGCTAATCCTGCTAGGATTTATGTAAGAGGACATAAAAAAGGTTGATTTTGTGTCTGCTGAAGCATTTATTTGTTTGAACCACGTGTTTTGGGTCTTTATCCATATGAAAGTCTTGTTCAGAATTCTTACCTCCATTCATTCTAACATGGTTACTTGGGCCATTGGTAATAGGCTCACAGCATTACACAACCTCCACCAACTTGTACTGTTGTATCCAACAGAAAATTTTGACTACGGTAGCCACCACTGAAACCAAAAAAAAGCAGCACAGAGATGGTTTTAGGGAAAATATTGCAGAAAAGAACAAGTTTGAAGAAAAATGTCATACAGAAGCATAAAAATAGCAACTTTAAGGCTCAATTTATGCAGTTCATCTCAAAAAACTTGATTTAGAGTCTAGTTATGCTTTAAGATGAACACACATCTGCCTTGCTTGAACAGTGTGTTTTCCTGTCTTTCCCACTGCAAAGAGTATCGAGGAGAAATGTGCCTTCATGCAAAACAAAATCAGGGAGAAATTCTTATTTCCAGATTACACAGTGTGTTTCCACTAACTGTGTTTCCCAGTTAGTTTCATTGATTATCAATAAGATTCAGATGCTGTTACAACATTTAATGGAAATCTCACAGGTAAATACACGCATGAAAATAATTTGATTGGAAAACAAACTAAACCAGGTCCTGCGGGTCAATCAGTGCCGTCAGTGGCTCTGTTTACATTACAAATATGTGTAAAACCGTGTCGATATGTCACTAATGACAAAAAAAACACAGTATCGCGATTCCACTGCTTCCATTAAATAAGAAACACAATTAAAATCACATCTGAATAAGTTTATTCACATGATAAATCATTAAAACCATGCTGCATTATAGTTTTAATGATGCAGCATTAAAACCAATAGCAACATGTGGTTGTTGATCAAAATACACTAATTTCAATACACATGAAAAACATCTTTTTAGTGATAAACATGTTTTTTTGAAGTTGGCGAAGTGGTTCTATTAAGAATTTGAGTCATTTTAAAGTTAATGAAAACGCAACTAGTGACACGCCACTGATTGTACATGAACAGGAATAAATCAGGTATCATATTAGCTTCTACACTGGAGATGTTAACAGTTTTGTCCTCACGTCTGGCATTGCTTTCACTCCTTTTGTTAAAAATAAACTCTTCCTTTGAAATGTAGAATTTTTTTTCATCTATTCATACTAATAGTGCAAATAAATCACTCTCCTTAAATAAACTAAAGCAAATCAGAATTTGCCTAAGGTTTTCTGTTTACAAATATCCATGGCTGAATGAGCCAAAAGTGTAGATTTTCTAAAAGGATGGAGGAAAAACAGAGGGCGCCTCAGATGGAGAGATGAGGTTCAAGAAAAAAAGATTAGATCTAAAGAAGGAAAGAAAGAAAAGTGTTGTGAGAAAGACAAAGAGAAGAGAGAGAAAGAGCACAAGGCCCAACACACTCCACTGAGAAGTCTGCAATCAATAATTCACATCATCTGTCACTGTGCGCTCCACTGGACCTCTCAACAAACACCACCCGTAATTTAAGGCCTAAACATGCACGTATGCTAGGATGCCATATGCGTACACACACATAGCAGAAAAGCGAATGCATGCATGGATTTGCATTTATTTACACACACACACACACAAAGTTGGCTGCAAGTGAGCAGGCGCAGACTCTCAGCTCACCCGTGCAACCTCGGCGTGACTTCCTGCTAAAAGTGAAGCAGCAAAGGTCAAACATCAGCTCCATGTCCCTCTCCTCACTTTTATATGCAAGTGCTTCATATCCCAACCCAGCCTCCGTCTGCCCGACGCGACGCTTCAGGAAGTGCGCTTCTCCCAAACCCGCCTTTTGTCTCCAGTGGCGGCCATGTTAAATTTATGCAGTTTATGTCACTGTTAGGTAGAACCTGACAGTAAATATTTGATACGATTCCCCCCCGGCCCCCCACTTTCTCTCTCTCTCTGTCTGAAATTCCCTCCAGCAAACGATTAGGCCTTGTGAGGGGCTTTGGGGGGGGGGGAGGGGGCAGATCCCATAGCAGTCACAGCCATGTTAAATTTACGTTTGCTTGAGAGGGTAAAAATCTAACAAATACCCATGTGGGAAGTAATAAGTGATCTGGCTCAACATCCTCAGACCAACAGGGTGTTTCAACGCACAAGACAACCGTCAAAAAATGATCGTTATTACTGTTGCTATGACAAAAGTGGCCACTAGAGGTATCAGACCAACTAGGATAGTAAACATACAGTTTAAATCACATATAGATACTCTATAAAACAAAACATAACCTTTATTTTCTGACTGTCTGGTATTAGATCGGATCAAACTTTTTCTGTTTTTTGTCACTCGAGATTACTGTGATCATTTCTGTTTGCTGAACACCAGAATGAGTTATTTTCTAAAGAATTATCTTAAGCTTTCCTTAAATCACAAGTTTAAACCTTTGCTTAGTATTTGGTAGAATTACCTTTGAAACCACATGTCCTTGGCCAAATGTTTTAGGTATCTACATTTCAGCTGTTTTGCAGTTTTCTGGAAGCTTGTTATTGATTAGAGGAACATAATATATTTATCTAATGTTTGAAGTGTGGCAATTATCTGCATACATACATCAAGGCTAATAAGGGATTTAAGGCAATAAAGGAATTTGCCCAGAAGCCATTGATCTTGGAAGTTAAGAATGATTATATGCCACAACAGGAAAAATATACTGGTAAAAATAAAAATTACTATTTTGAGGTTGACAAAGAAAAAATGTTTTCAAAGATATCAAAAAGTAACTTTCACATTTTTGTTTTTCACAACAGTTCTTGGTCCTTCCACTTGACTTCATATCCTGTCCATTACAGCAGCCATTGCAACACTTAGCTGAATCATGGGGAAGCAGTTGGTAAATGACATCATTTGGTGAAAAGAGGATTGATACTCAAAGAAGGAGACTTGTTTCAGAATCAGCAGATGACTTCACCAGCTGCAGCAATGTGCTTAATAGTTTATAAGAAGTTGAGTCGTTGCCTTTCAAACGCGACAACAAATGTCCAGACTACAAAATCTGGTAAGCTACTGCATTTTTTAATAACATGTCAATACATCAAGCTTTTAATAAGAAAACAGTATTTACTGGAGCGAGAATAGAGTTTTTAAATCAGTCGAGGAGACCCATCAAGACCCTAATATTTAATTTCAGTACAGTGTAGAAACATGCAAATCCTTCAGACCCCTTTAAAATGCCTGTAACTGCCTATTTTAATAGTTCAAACATAGCAGAATATGCATTAATATGAATAGTGGAAACCACCTTAGCATGATATAGAAGCTAATATCTCCCATCTTTCTTATTTCTGCTTTCTGGGTGTTACAGTCAATCAGTGACAAGAAAAAATAAATGGTGGTCCAGGATTGGTTGCTTTGCAAGTTCCAGGCAGTATGTCAATCAGCATAAGGTCTAAGAATCTCATCTTCCCAATCAACCCCTATTTTATTTCTATTTTAAAGTTTGAAAATAAAGAAAATAACACTCAGCTGAATCATGGGGAAACAGTTGGTAAATAACAACCGTCATTTACCAACTGAAAATAGGATAAATCCTATTTTCAGAAATAGGATTTATCCATTCTCTAAAAAGGTATTTTGAGATTACTTGTACTTTTAATGTCATTCTCTTGTGGAAATGCAATGCAATCATTTCCTAAAAAATAATTTTAAAAAACTGCTAAAGCTGATATTTACTCTCTCTTTATTTAAAAAGAATCAGTTGGTTCAATTTAAATTACCAACTTTATTTTTGCTTTTTTTCAGTTTTAGTCAATGAGCCATAGTGGAAGGTCCAAAGAGCCAGTTGTGGCTCCAGAGGCTCATGTTGAAGACCAACTTTTCTTGACCAAAATAAGATCGTCTCATCCGACTAGCCGCACAGAGGACGAAAGGCCTCATGTCATTAGAATATTCAGGTATTAAAAGGTATATTTGAATTTTGACAAGGCTGTTCGAATGCAATCGTTCTTGGAGTAAGGTCAGACGCACACAAGCTAAATGGAAAACATTTCAATTTCACACTTGATGTGTCCTTAAATATCTGTTCCCATATCCAACACGTGCACTGGAGAAAACTGTCAGTCACTCATCGCTGCACTTCTCCACAGATTACTGGATGTACAATCAATGGGACGATCTGTGCAACACCTGAGCCAAAACTTTACCGTCAGAGGCTGTTGAGAAACATGTCCAGAATGTAAAGTTTTCATTCTCTCAACATGCCATGGTTTCAGTTTGGGATAAAGAAACTTGAACTTGCAATCATCTTCTTAAAGAAAAAGAGTGCTTCAGCTGCTGTAGACAGGGAGGTCGAATGAAATGTCTGATCATATGATGGGAGGCGAACGATATGAAAATGAGCTTTCGTCGGTTTTAAGACAACAAAACAGCATCTCCACTGAGTGAATCACAACAATTTTCTCCACCGTTTCATTTGAAGTTACTGTCAAGTCCCAGACGGAAGATTTTACATCTGATGGTTTTGCTGACTTTAACCTCAGGTCATGTGGAAATAATCAAAACACTAAAACTTCTCCTTTCTGTAGGCTTTGAACCGTGATGAGATTATGTTATTTTCTAGAAAGTCCCTCCACTTGTGTTTAAATCTGATAAAACCAGAGCTGTGGTTTTCAGAGTGTCATGTGCAGCTTTTATCATTTTTACCAACAACTTAAAATTGTTCTTACACAAAGCTACCAAAACAAATAAAATGATTTAATAAGAATCTGCTTTAAGTTTCTTAAATAATAACATTTTATTTTGAGCTCAGTTGTTGGCTGCGGTTTCTTTTCAATGTTGCATAGTTCAGTGTTTGCTAAGAGAGTGAAGAAAAAAACGACCATATATATTGTCTTATTGTCTTCTGGGGAATAGCTAAGATGGTTTTCACTGCACACATTATTGCACATTAAGTTATATTTGATGTTGGAACTATTAAAATAGGCAGCTACAGAAGCTTTTAGAGTAGGTCTTAAGAATTTGTGCATGGATTTCTAGTATTTGCAAGTGGTTAGGGTCCCCAGCCCTGAATACCCGGGTTCCTCTGTAATCTGTTTTTGATTCCTACTGAAGGAGGCTTTTATGCATTTTATCTAAATGCTTCAGTGCAAATTTAGATTTTTTTTTGTTTGTTTCAATTTGTTTCTTTCTGTGGTATTTTATTCTCAGTGCTGCCCTGTTTGGGTTTAACAGTGCCTACTACAGTTAAATGTTTCTAACAGTACAGATTTACGTCACACTGCCCTGTTCGGGTATAAAACCATCTCCCTCAGACACAGGGAGATGGTCCCTGTGTCTGAATTGCTTGTTGGAATTACAAGCATGGAGAGCATTGATCAATGGTACTTTTTAGCTTTCCACAAATGTGATTAATTTGCAAGTGGACATTAAATTGAATGGGTCTCCTCTCTGTTGTGACTGATGGTGGTTTGGTGCAGGATGACTGTAAGACTGTCTGTTGTGCATAGGGAGTGGAATCGGCTCACAGAAGCAAACTCTCAGGTCCAAGCAGGGTGATGGGGTGAAGGATAAATGGTGCTTTCACATGTTGTCACCATAAAAGACTCAAACAACACAGAAAAAATTTGATACATTTTTCCCTAGTCACTCTTTTTCGAAAAAAAAAAAGGCATTAGAGAGGTTTGAAAAGTTACTAAATATAGCAACAAAGTTGGTAAGTTGGCAACAGTGCTTCTCTTGTCTTGACTGCAGCTCACACTTGGCCCGGCCCCTAAGTGTCTCTTGGTTCTGCTCACTTTGGTGGTATTGTTCAACTATTGTCTGGAGGAGGGGTTTTGTTTTCACAGGGAGCTTGATTGACAGCAATAAGACCCTCCTCCTTTGGTTGTTTCTAGTTAGCATAGGAGCACTAGAAGAGGACTTGATTTTTTTTTTTTTTTTTACAGACTATGACAATGATTGAATACTGTCTCATACTATTCACAATGTCATGACATGTTTACAGTTTTAAGAAATATGAAAATAAATATATGGTAACACTTTATTTGATGGGGTGTGCATAAGACTGACATGACACTGTGATAAACATGACACAACACCTGTCATGAAGTTGAAGAAGTCTTTATGAATGTCTGACTGTTGCCATGAAGTGTTATTCGGTAAATAATGACACTTTTAATGCAAAGTTGCTCTAAAAGTTGCCTTGAACTTTTTCCATTGAAAGTAACAACTTTGCTTTAAAATGTAATTATTTACAAAATAATGCAAAGTTTTTCACTTCAACTTTCAAGGGTAACTTCAACTTTAACTCCTTGATAAGATAAACTTGAATCTGCATCATACTGCTTACAGAAATGTTGATGTTTGATTTAATAGCATCTTGTGAAAGTATCTTCTTGGCTCCTGAAGTTGTGACTAATTTCCAACACAGCAATTTAAATATGTATTTAAATTAAAATATATATAATTTAAAGATCTTAAATCAAAACACAACAACAATGCCTTTATAAAACCTGCTCTGCTTATAAACCATGGAAGTCAGCAGCACATCTGAACCTCCCTTGTGTGCTGGCTTTACACAAAACCACTCTGACACGTTTACTGTACAAGAGCCCTTCAAACTGTGTGTCCTGCTGCCTGTTGGACCTCCAGGCCTCATTAATATTGTAAACTTGTACTTAGCAGACAAAAGATGGCAAAGACCAGAGGGGAGGACACCTGGGGCAGAAAGAGCAGAGAGGATGTGGGAGAGAAGTGGTAACTCTGTTTATCCATCTATCCGATTGGTCATGTGTGGGTGTTTGGACAGATGGATGCTACATCAGCAGAAGTGTACTTAAATCTAAAAGCTTTATGTGTTCATGCTCGGGTCTCAGTGGGCAAGATTTTATAATTCTGTGTTGAAGGGGCAAAGCTTCAGCCATATTTTATTTTGGGCTATTAGTGATGTGTTTTAATGCACAAGTTTGAATTGAATGATTTAAACTTGTGTGTTGTTCTGACATTGGAAATGTCGAACAAAAATTAAATGTGATATTCATTCACCTGATGAGTGGTTGTAAATTGGGGTGGGCATGTATTGTATCATTTATTGTGATACATTTATTATTATAAGAATTTCCATAAATAAGTTTCAACTGATGATGTTTGAAAAAAAAAAAAAACGTATCTTATTGTGGAGAATTGTTAGTTTTACTGACTGTTTATTCAATAAAAGCATCAATAACTACCAACACATTTTAAAATACAGTTACCATGTGCAGATTAGTGATACAAATTACACCTCTTCATGTGACTGGTGTCTTAAATAAATGTAGTACAAATGGGAATGTTTTTCAAGAGCAGTATTTGTGTTTGTGGGGCTACAATTGCTGTGACACCTTTTCACAATCAAAGAGTTACCTAAAAAAAAAGATGCAATTGAATCATTTTATTGTCAGTTTTATTATCACAATAGAACAGCAAAATATCATGATTAGACATTCAGCTGTAAACGTCGAACTTCGAGCATATTTCTTTTGTGATGTTTTCCTCCAAAATAATCAAGTTATAACTGAATAAAATGATGAAGAAGCTTTCACTTTTTCGTGTGCAGCAAAAAATATGTAACAGAAAAATAGGGAAAGAAGGCCTTGGTGAGTGACAGAGAATCAAAAATGTGAAGGGATGTGTTTATGTCTCCTTCAGCTGAGTCTCCACAGCATTGGCTCAGTTAACAAAATCAATAAGGCTGCATGTGTGTGGACGTGTCACGAGGAGTTTATGAGTGTGTGGAGGGAGGAGGCTTGAGTGTGGACAGGTGACAGAGTTGTTCCCATGGCGGGATGAGCCTATCCATCCGCATCAATTATTGAGGCTTCAGGACACACAGAGCTCTGAGGAGAGCCAGAGGAGGCCTGGCGGGTCGGGGGGGTTACAGGTCAGGAGACCAGGACTCAGAAGGGCTGCAGTGTCCCTCAGCCACATACACACATGTTCATG